GGCAAGGCCATAAGGCTTCATATTGCCTACCAGTTGTGTGCCACTGGGATGAAAAGCTGTCTGTGGACTTCATTTTCTTCAACTATAAAATGTGGGTGGGCGATAAGAGTACCTTGCCTGCAAAAATAGATGGAACTAGAAAACATTATTTTGAGTAAGGTAACCCAGACACAGAAAGACACTTATCGTATGTACTCACTCATAGGTAGTTTTTAAAAATAAAGAAAAGAAAACCAGCCTACAAACCACCATCCCAGAGAACTTAGACAACAATGAGGGCACTAAGAGAGACTTATGTAGATATAATCTACATGGGAAGTAGAAAGTAGAAAAAAACAAGATCTCCTGAGTAAATTGGGAGCATGGGGACCCTGGGGGAGGGTTAAAGTGGGGAGAGGAGAGGCAGGGAGAGAAAAATGTAGAGCTCAATAAAAATCGATAAAAAATAGTTATAAAAAAGAGTACTTGCCTACAGAGGAGGTTGTATAGAATAAATAAGACAGAGCAAAGAATGGACTTAGCCCGATGGCAGACATACAGTAAGACATGTTTCAGTGTTGCTAATCTATCCTCAGTATCTGTTGTGCACCACACACTGGGCTGGCTATCCTACCAGGCGCAAGACGAGACCTTCCAGGCTGAAGCCAAGCAGAAACCACAGATGAAAACACATCTTTCTCAAACTCCCTTCGGTCCAAACTACTTATCTGAGCATCATCACATCCCTCTTTAACTTGGTGTGCTCCTTGTGCGTCAAACTCAGCCTCATGGAGTTGGCAATTGTAGGATGTGGCTGCCTAACAGAGCCCTGTGTCAAGCTTCAGTCTGTGACGCTTAATTTCGATTTTGTAGAAGCCTGAATTAGTTGAGCTCAGAGCTCAGTCCTTGCCCATCGTAGTCAGAGTTCTCTGGGAGACAGTTTCTTCTTTGTGTTTCTAAACCTGACCCGGCAACCAAGCTCAAGCTTGTGGCAAGTGCTGCTTTACCAACAACTATTTCCCAACCTCAGTCCCCTTGTTTCATGTTTGTGCTGTCTGAGCTGGTCCCCAGGCCTCATACCACTACCCAAAACTAGGAGGTTGGCATTAGAATCACCCACATGTTATCCATGGCAACATAAGCAGATAAGGGAAGGCAGTAACCCCGTCTACATGTTTTTCTTTTATTTTTAGATAATTATAAATTTGCAGGCAATTGTAAGCATTAGTATGAGAGGTCCTGATTCCCTTCTTGACTAATCAGAGCGCAGTCACCGACCATATTCAGATTTTTGTCAATTTTACACACACTCACTTGTATGTGCATACATGTCTGACAGGTTCTATGTGAATTTGTCATGTCTAGATTCATGTAAGCATATTATAGTCGAGGTACAGAATGGTTCTTCCCTCTTTCCTTCACTCTAGCTGACCAATGACTAGTCTGTTTTCTCTCCTGGTTTTATCATTTCAAGGATGTCTTGCAAATGTCACTGTGCTATTGGCGTATATCCCTTTAAGACTGGTTTTTCTCTCATGGCCTAATTCCCCATGATACATCCAAGTTGTTGAGTGCATTAATAGTTAATTCCTTTTTATTGCCAAGTTGTAGTCTGTGACATGGGTGTACCATGTCGTCCATTCATCTATAGTGTGTGACATGGGTGTACCATGTCGTCCATTCATCTGTAGTCTGTGACATGTGTGTACCATCCCATCCATTCATCTGTTTCTAATTTGAGGCCACTTGATATATTGATTTAAAGCTGTTCAGTGTGTGTGTGTGTGTGTGTGTGTGTATGTGTGTGTGTGTGTGTATGTGTGTGTGTATGTGTGTGTGTGTGTGTGTGTGTGTGTGAGAGAGAGAGAGAGAGAGAGAGAGAGAGAGAGAGAGAACGTACATTTTTATTTCTTTGGAATAAATGCCCACAAGCTGCTGGGTCATATAAGACACGTTTAGTTTGGATGTTTTGTTTTGCTTTGTTTTGTTTGTTTGGTTTTGGTTTTGTTTTTGAGGCAGGTTCTCACTATGTAGCCCTGGATAATCTAAAACTCACTAGATAACCCAGGCTGGCCTTGAATTGTCTGCCTCTGCCTCTCAGCTGGGATCAAAGACATTTGTAACACGGAGCAAACATGCTTAATTTTGCGAGGAATAGCCCCACTGTTTGCAGTTGCGGTTTGCAGTGACTCCATGGCCTCACATTCCCACCATCAACGCACAAGTGAGCTGCAGTCCAGTTCTTTGCATGCCTTCGGTTTCTAGCTGTAACTATGCATATGTGTGCAGAGATACTTCACTAAGGTTGCAATTGCCATTTCCCTAATGGCTAATGACATTGAACATCTTTCCGTATGCTTATTTGCCATCTGTATATCCTCTTCAGCAGAACATCTGATCATGCCTTTTGCCCTTGTTCTAATTGGGTTGCTTGTTATTTTGCCATTTAGTTTTTTAAGAGTTCTTTACAGACTTTAGGTGCAAGCCCTTTGTCAGGTATGCGGTCTGTAAATATTCTCTCCCAGTCCATAATCTCTTCATCTTCTTCACGGGTTTTTTGTTGTTGTTGTTGTTGTCATTGATAGTGATTTGTTTTTGTTTTTGTTTGTTTTTAGTCAGGGTTTCCTCTATGTAGCCTTGGCTACATTATAGAACTCCCTATGTAAATCAGGCTGGTCTTGAACTCACAGAGATCTTCCTGCCTTTGCCTCCAAAGTCCTGGGATTAAAGGTTTATACTATCATGCCTGGCAGGTTCTTTCTAAGAACGTTTTCAATTTTAGCAAGCAAGTAATCTTCCATTTCTAAATTATGGTTTTGGTATCAAGTCTAAGACTTCTTTGCCAAACCCTACAGAAGCAGAAAGAAGACTTTCTGTTTTCTTTCTTTTTTGTTTTGTTTTTCAAGACAGGGTTTCTCTGTGTAGCCCTGGCTGTCCTGGAACTTGTTCTGTAGAACAGATTGGCCTTGAACTCAGTGATCTACCTGTGTTTGTCTCTGAGTGGTGAGATTAAAGGTATGGGCCACAACACCTGACTCCATTTTCTTTTTTCTAAAAATGTTTGTTTTTGGTGTTTTGGGGGGGATGAGAGGTCTTATATTTAGGTCCATGCTCCATTTGAATTAGTCTCTGTATTAAATGTGGAGTTTAAATTAAGGTTCAGGTTTTTTTTTTTAATCTGCTCGTTTATGGATGTCTGGTTATCCTAACACCGTTTGAACAAGCCCCTGTTGGGAAGCAATTGAGTTTATTTGTCAAGATCCATAGCAATGTATGTAGATTTTTCTCCTGTCACTCTCAGGAATTCACACTGAGGAAATGATGCAGAAATGGAAGACAAAGCTACATACTTAGAAAATAATCTCGTGTGTGTGTGTGTGTGCGTGTGTGTGTGTGTGTGTGTGTAGATCAAACCAAAGACCTAATGAATGCTTAGGCAAGTAAGTGTTCTACGATTGAGTTAGAGTTACTTTGTCCTCTGGCCTCATTGTGTAACTTTTTTCTAAATAAAACTGAAAATTTGAATGTACTATAAGTACCCAGCAACAGAGACCTAGTTAAATAAAGCACACATATGGACTCATATGTGACAATTGAAAATAATTCTCATCCCTTCAGTATTTATTCTATGTAAATAAGGTAACGCTGAGAGCCAATTAGATGTCATCCCTGCCTTCTCTCCACTCACAGTCCAAAAGAGAGATAGAGAAAACAATTCTGGAACTTAGAAAAGCATATTTGATGAGCTAAGGGAAAACCAGAAAGCAGAATTGCATGTGTTAAGTTTATTGGAGATTGGTTAAAATATGTACATGTCAGGCAGCAGGCTGACCCACCTGCTGTTAAACCCTGACAACCTCAAGCTCAGTCTTGGGGACACACGTAATGGAGGAAGAGACCTGACTCCCACCGTTGTCTTCTGACCTCCACATGAGCACCATAGCAGATATGCACACACATAGATAAATGAAAGTTTAAAATAAATGAGGGGGAAATGGAAACTTTTTTTAGGGTAATTGGATAAAGACAATTACCCTAAAATAAAATAAAGACAATTTTTTTTTGGCCCTGTATTTTCCATGCCTTCCATGTATTTACCTCTGATGATGATTAGAGCAACAAGCTGAGTTTGATGGTACATGCCTGTAATCCTCGTGCTTGGGAGGTAGATGAAGGAGGATTATGAGCTCAAGGTCATCCTTAGCTGTATAATGAGTTAGAGACTAGCCTAGGCTACATGAAACCCTGTCTAAAAAATTGATAAAATAAAATAAATGAAGCAAACCCTAACAGAAACAATAACTACAACTTAAGAAAAAAAATTCAAATGCAAGGTAGCTTCTAGCCGTAATAGGATCAGGTATGGCCATTTGAAGAGGCCCTTGTGCAGTAACCAAAAGGGTATGGAAATCAGACAGTTGGTACCCAGTGCCCAGCTAATGCATGCTGGATTATCCCAGTCCATCAGTAGATATTATCAGAGTAAGGCAGCCCATATTACATGAAACTCATGGAATATAAATTTAAGAATAGACAATGTCTGACCTCTGGGGCATTTCCAAAAAACTCTGACCTCTGTCTTTCTTGGTTTTGCTTAATACTTCGAGCTGTGTAGAGCTGCCATGGTCCTCTCCCGTGATATCTCAGCATGTGAAGTTGTTGGAGAGGGTGTAATATTACCATTTAGTCGACACTAAGGGGAGTCATAGAGAGTTTCAGCAAGTCGTCCAAGGTTACACGGACAATCTACGGCAAACCTGGAGCTTGAACCTGGACTTCTATTGCGAAGGTCAATGCTGTTTTCAGAAGACCACAGCTGCCCTAGAACAGCTGTGATAGCAGTGGCTAAAAGCAAGTCATAGTCAACAACAGCTCGTCTGGAGAGTTTAAACCATGGGGGTGGGAAACAGGAGACCCAGCAACGACGGGCACCAATCCTCTGCCAAGGTTGGGGCTGGGGACTTGAGGGAGGGGGATGTGAGGCAGACACCTGGGCTTACAGCTCCTCCTCCTCTCCCCAGATGGTGAAGGCAATCCAGGTCCTGAGGATCCACCTGCTAGAGTTGGAGAAAGTCAATGAACTCTGCAAAGACTTTTGCAACCGTTACATCACCTGCCTCAAAACCAAGATGCACAGCGACAACCTGCTCAGGAATGACCTCGGGGGCCCCTACTCCCCCAACCAGCCCTCCATAAACCTTCACTCCCAGGTAACACACAGGGACGGGCCTTAGCTCCTCGGCCAGGCATGCAGAAAGGTCTGAAGGACTCCAGCAACCTGGGCAAAGCAATTTGAATCATCAGACTCTTTTACAGGGAGGCCCTCTTCCCTCCATCTGACAGCACTGGCCCTTATTTTGTACTTGATTGTGACAGGGTCTTAGAATGTAGCCTAGGCTGATCTCAAACTCTTGGTCCTGCTACCTTAGCCACCATACCTAACCAGGATAAGTTTTTTGCTATTTTTTTTAAAAAAAGATTTATTTATTCATTATGTATACAGTGTTCTGCAGGCCAGAAGAGGGCACCAGATGTTACTACAGATGGTTGTGAACCACCATGTGGTTGCTGGGAATTGAACTCAGAACCTCTGGCACCGCAGGCAGTGCTCTTAATGGCTGAGCCATCTCTCCAGCCCCCTTGCTTTTTTTTTTTAATTTTGTTTTTTAACATAGACTTCTACCTGCGAGGGTCTGAGCACGCCATAAATGACCATATCTAAAAACAAAACAAAACAAAAAAAACAGTATCCAAAGAAATTCCCGACTCCAGGATTTACCAAGAAGTGGGCGGGCCCTAGTCCCTAAAGGAGAAAAGATAGTTGCCTTACTGACACCTGGGGATGGTAGGTAGACCTCCTGGCAAACATTCTCCTCTGGAGGGCATGAAGGGGCTCTTGGCACTCCTGAAAGAAGGTATCAGGGAAACTGATTCTTCCCCCAAATTCTGCGCACCTAGGAGATAAGAAATCCCATAGGACTGCTCCTCCCTCCTCCTCTGGTTACTCTCGCTGGTACCTCGGCCCCACTAAGATGCAAGACCGCTGTCAAAGGCACCTTAGCCAACCCCTTCTACGATCCCCTCTGCTACCTTCCTCTGAGGAGATGGTGCCTGTTCTACACGATAGGGAAGAGTGAACACTTCTCTCTAGGGCAGAATGTGTTCTCCAGGTCTACAATCAGAAAGCTACCTGCAAACCTGTAGACTCTTCCTGTATACTCTTGCTGTCATCTACACAGACTGTAGGCTCACAACATCGTTTCCCCCTCACCGAGTTCCTGAAGTCCAGAAAGCATACACAGAGACACAGGTGCCCCTGGGAGGCTCACAGTGACCCTTCTTCTCAGACAGGGACTGGGATGCAGGTTAACGTTCTAAGGGTGAGTAGTGGAAGCTAACGCGAAAGCCACCTAAGAGACTATGCCATTTTCATTTTAGGTATTAGGACTCGGGTTTACAGGGGCAAGGGGAGGGACACACTTTGTACATTGTGACCCCCCCCCCCCACCTCCACAAGTACACTCAGTATTGTATCATGTTTACCCCACTGCAATCTCTCTGGGACTTGATACTAAGAATGACAAAGGACATGGGGCAAGAAGTTTATTTCCTCCTTGTATTGCTTAAAATCACCAAATCACTTTATTACAGATCTAAAAACAGCAGCCTTGGCTTCTGCTTGCTAATATTCTCTTGAAATAGACTCATTCCTTCAGAGTCTTATTGTACTTTCCCTTATGATCGAAATTAGCAAGAAACTTGCATAAAAGAGGACAATAATTGCTCAACGAGCATCTCGTTTGTAATTTATTAGTTTCTATTATTGTGGGTTACCATGGTGACGCTGCGCAGCCCCGGTGACGGGAGAGATGTAAGATAGGAGCTGAGGAGGCTGCGAGGCCTCACCAAATGGAGATGCACATTTTTATCAGTAATTTTCATGAAAATAATAAGTGAGGAGTTAATGAGATGGAAAGCCATCCTGTGGCTATTGTGAATTTTTTTTAAGTGTTGATCTAATTAGAATGCATCGGTCAGGAAAAGTAATGAGGATTTAGTGCCTCACAGAGATGTGAGGATCATATCAGAAAATTAGCACAAGTCTTTGGAAATAATCAGGTCCTTGGAGAGGCCCTGGATTTCCCCTCCTGGGTCCTCCGACTGTACCTTGAGCGCTGGAGTTGGGGGTGTACCAAGGTAGCGGGATGGAGAGGCCAGGAAGGAGGGGCTGGAGGCTCAGCAGCCACAGTGGCCCCTCAGGGTTGGAGGTCTGTCTGAGGTTGACAAGCTAGCCTGGAGGAAGCAGGCATTTACAGGGAAATGGAGTCTGTCAGGAAGGAACATGGACTCTGGATGATCCAGGTGTTAGAACCACTAGCTGCAAAAGCCAGATCTCTGGGGCGTGCCCAGGTTCGGTGTCTCTGAGCTTGAGAGAGACTAGCCAGAAAGGCCTCTGATGCCAGAGAAAGAAAAACTCAGGCAGCTGGGTGAAACAAAGACACCCAAAGTTAGAGGGGCGGGGGGAAGATACGTAGCTATTCCTAGTTGGTGTAACTCAAATTAGTCCCCTCGTTTCCTCTGGTTGCCACCGCCTCCTTCCCACCTGTCTTCCTTGGCCATCCCTCCATCCTGCTCCACACCTGTGCTCCGCTTACATTGTTGCTGCTGGATTTCTCATCCCAAAGCCTGTGTGGTCTACAGAGCCTGGTTGCCTCCAGGGTTTTCCCATCTGCCTGTCTGACATTCAAGGCCTCATAGGCCTAGCCTCAGTTTTCATGCCTGAGCTGCATTGCTCTAGGTACCACAATCATTTCTCCATGCCTACCTGATGAGGGGACATCTTCCATTCTAAATCCCTCTTCTCTGCAAGGCCGATCCAGCCTTTTCCCAGAGGCTGTGGCCAGGTTGCTCTCCTATGGAGATCTCACCCACCCCCTTCTATGACAGTCCTTTCCTTCTCGCACCTGAGAGCCTACCATTAATGCTGCAAATGCCACATGTGATGTTAGATGAGAAGCTGCATCTCTCTTCCTCTCCTAGAAAGCACATGTCGTTCGCCTTGACGCAGCATTTTATATATCTGAAATCACCAGATCACTTTATTACGGGTCTAAAAACAGCTACCCATGCTTCTGCTTGCTAATAGTCTCTTGAAATAGATTTGTTCCCTCAATATTGTTGCCTTATGATGCCAGCTGTGGCCATCATGTCTTCTGTGTGTTCAGGGGCCAATAGGCATTGGTAAGAAGTAATGCAGTGGGGTGCGCAAAGGGAGAAGGAGGAAGAGGAGGAAAAAAAAGAACTAAGAAAAGGGGGAGGAAAGACAAACGGAGGTTAGCATCGTTCAGGAGGGAGGCAGGGAGAGGCCAAAGTTTGTCAGAAAGGAGAAGTGAAGGAAATGAGATGGAGAGACACCGACAGAGGCAAAGGCAGAAAACATGAGGCCAAGGCCGAAAGACAACAGGAAGAGGAATGGTGGCCATAGCAAGATGAAGAACATGAATAGAATAAAGAAATGGATTGCTTGGAAGCAGGAATTTGGAAGAGGACCGGGTGGTGGACAGCCTTTAATCCCAGTACTCGGGGAAGGCAGAGGCAGCAGATCTCTGTGAGTTCAAGGCCAGGCTGGTCTACAAGAGCTAGTTCCAGGACAGGCCTCAAAGCTACAGAGAAACCCTATTTTGAAAAACCAAAAAAGAAAAAAGAAAGAAAAATGCACTTGGGAGAGGGGAGAAGAGGTAGGAAGCGCACATAACTCTGAGGTGCTGGGCTTAAATAGCCTACTAAGGAGCCCCCTCTTAGCTTAGGGACTCCCCAGCAGCCTATGGAGGATGCTGACGGCCCATCTCTTCCTCATAAGGGTGGGCTTCTCTCTGACACACAGCAAGCTCTGCTTTTCCAAAGTTGTCAGGGGTGTGTGTCCAAAGGCGGTGTGCTCCAGTCTGCCAAGGCTTGGGACTGTTGTCGCACGATGAGCTTCCTGAGGATGTGACCTGTGACTTTTCAGGCCAGGTGGAGGTAAGGGGAGATGGAATTAGATGAAATTGAGCTTGCACACAGTCTGGGCACAAGAGATGAAGGTGAAGAGGGTTTGCTGTGCGTCGTCCTCCAATCAGGCTCTGTCACTGTCTCCCAGGATGGGTGAGGTCTTGCAAGAGCTCATTTAAGAAAGAGACCCGTGTCTTCCTAAGGATGAGGACCAGAGTCTATGTAAGAGGCAGATCTTAGGAACCAGCATGGGAGAAGAAACCTAGAGGTTGGGAACTCTGTGTGTGTGTGTGTGTGTGTGTGTGTGTGTGTGTGTGTGTGTGTGTG